ATAACAAAAGATCCCAAAGCAGGTATACTGGCTGTAGCTGTTTTAGATAGATACATTTATGGGGGTAATACATGGTGCTAAAATCTGCATAAATGTAAATAATTAAAAAATATATGTATGTTCTGACAGTTTAGTCTAAACGCACAAAAATGATTTACCCCCATATTTTTGTGCTTTCTAATAGATATGTTGAAAAAAACAAGTTTTGTTTTTGTATTATTTGTAAGATAAATTGTAACTCAGTGGTCTCATTTTAGCATTTGCTGGTTTCATGGGTATTTGAATCCAAAGCAAACTATGATTTTTAATGTCATACGTTGGTCTAACTGCTCAACCATTTCTTACTGGTAAAGTCCATATGGCTAACTGTATTGTAGTGCTGGCAAACCTGTACCTTTTTTGTTTATATTCCTTTCTGTGTCAACATCCCCCACACACACACGCCAAAACTAGCATACTACAGACTATAAAAGAAAAATTATTTATTTACACTTTTTTTTTCTTTTTTTGTGGTAGTAGTAGTATGCCAAACACGGTTTGCCCATTTCAGTTATAAGCATAATCTCATTTAAATTGCTGCTTTAAAAATTGTGCTGGGGGGGGGGTCATTTTTTGTCAGTATTAGCAAACTGATTTTTACCCATGAGAATAAAAAAAGTATCCTTGCAGTGTATTAATGGTGTAAACTTACCTCCTATATAAGGTGCATTAAATAATTAGCTTTTTCAATGGGTGACCTATAATGAAGATTGTTTCTTTCTTTGGGGATTGCAATGATCAAAACCTATTTGATGCCTTTATTTTCTGGCGCTTTAGCCTATTTTTCCTAATCTTGTTTAGTGTACTTCTGATAAAGTCTAAGGCTGTACTTTAATGTTTACGCAGCGTGTTACACATTTCAGTATAAACATACACTTTCTGAATTTAAAATATGTATTTAATGTCTGTAATATAATAAAGTATTTATATTTTGATTTATATTTGGACTGTTTCCTTTTGAAGCTATATATAAACAAATATTCCATTGAATTCAGTCGCTGTTTATATTGTGTTTTTTAGTAATATTTTTCTGAAAATCAAAATAATGTCTATGCTTGGGTACAGAGCTGGTGCAATATTAGATTTGTTTTTGTGAAAAACTGTCTGGATTAGTGTAGAGGACACTTAGCCAGTGTATTGGGGCAGTCAAGCAGCATTGTTTGGTTTATAGAATTGTTTGCTTTCCAGCAAGCTGCCTTTTTTTAAAATAGATTTTTATTAAAGGTTTACATAATACAACCAGATATTACAGCATTGGTAAGGCCCACTCCGTTTAGTACAATAAAGGTTGCCTAATACACAATAAGTCCAAGAGCCTGAAGGCAAAAAGTAACACAGGAAAAATATCACACCATATAATAATGAATAAGTGAGGCACAAATTTGTATGCAGGGCCGTGCAATTCTGGGGGTCGAGTAGCCAAACAGGAACATAGCTGCTGAGTTGCCTTTTAATCTATAGCAGGGGTAGCCAAACTCCGGCTCTCCAGCTGTGGTAGAACTACAAATCCCATGAGGCATTGCAAGATTCTCACAGCCACAGGCATGACTCCCAGAGAGATGCATCATGGGATATGTAGTTTCACCACAGCTGGTGGGCCGGAGTTTGGCAACCCCTGATCTATAGGGATCATTAAGGGGAATGATAGAAGGGACAACACACAAAGGGGAGGGGAGAATTAAATATGGCATAATAAAGTAAGACATGGCATTGAAGAATAAATCAAATGTAGGGTATTTGGCCATAGAAATAGGTGAATAAGGGTCATAAGTAAAGACCTCGTAGGCGTGTGTCCAGGACAGGTGTTGATATGAGATAGTAGTATGTAGAAGTGATGGGTCAGCGACTGGTAGGGCATTAGTTAATCACGGTGATCTGATGGTGCAGCAGCTATCCACTAGCCAACAATCCCAATTTATAGAGAATATATGCTCCTTGAGATGTGCCCTGGCAAAAAGATGTCCAAAGTGTGAATGAGTATTAAGAATTTTGATAGTCTAGCTATAGCGAGTCTGGCTGCAATAATAGTATGTGTTACGAAGACATGTGAGGTAGGAGGCCAATAAATGACATCTATCCCTAGGAGTGCTAAGTGTGGGCTGGGCTTGCTAGGAAGATGAGTAACAGAGCAAATAAATTGAAAAATGGTATCCCAGTATGGTTTATGGCACTGTGACCAGATATGATTATTAGAAATAACACCGTAAGGCTCAACCTGCATCTCAAATTTGAAAAAAGACAGTAACCCAGACTTAATGCAGATCACACTGACTTAATTTTGAAGCCTTATACTCCTTTAGGCAACCTGAAAAGCACTGATAACCATAGTAGGCAGAGTGCTTTAACCACTTTAAGTCCACGGTGTTAAACCCCCTTCCTGTCCAGGCCATTTTTCAGTATTCAGCGCTGCAGTACTTTGACATTTATTCCGTCATGCAACGCTGTACTGAAATTGATTTTATACAATTTTTGGGGGACAGACAGTTTTCTTTTGGTGGTATTTAATCACTATAGTAAAAAAAATTACCGAAATGTTTTTTAAAAAAGTTTTCCCTATATTAAATTCTAAAACATTTATTACCCAATTTTTTGGTAAAATATAAAAGGCGGGGTCACGTCGGGTAAAAAGAAACCAAACATGTCAAGCCTTAAAATTGTGCACGCCCGCGAAACCTCAAACAACTGCAATACCCAAAATTGACCATAGGCGACACTTTAAAAGCTTGTACCACACCTCAGTTTAGTGTTATCAGTGATTGATGGCCCCAATTGGCGCAATTGTTTTCCGCGATGGCGCATCTGATGCGTATTTACGTTTATATGTGTGTAAACGTGAGGATGGGGGACTTAAAAAAAGTTTAAGAAAACAAAATTTTGATGTGACTTTTTTTTTAAGAATTAAGTTTTTTACACTTAATGTTATTGCTATCACATAGGGGGATAACAATCCCCCTATGTGATGGCATAGGCAGACGGCAGGTCCTCTTTATGGAGGCATTAGGGTTCTCTAAGATTCCTACTGTCACCTATGGACCCCCTAAAGAAGCTGATGAAGCAGAGATCTGCTTCATCAGCTTCTTCTCTCTGGCTATAGCAGCCAGAGGACTGACAGGTGAATGCGGAAGTAATGTAATATGTCGGAGGGAGATCAGCATCTCCCTTCCATCTTCCTCCTGACACCCTCCCGAGCTGGTCTCGGGCTGCAGATGGGGCAGCGGATCCCGGGATTGAGGGTGCAGGAGGGGGGGGCGGCAGCGAGACAGCTGCACTAGAGGAGGGGGGGCACACGCAGGCAGCACATACAAGTGATCGGACGGCTATAGAGCCGATCGCTTATATGTGAAACAGCCGTTAACGGCTGTTTAACAATGGACAGCCATTTTTCTGTCTGTGCGCACGAGCAGAAAAAAAAAGCCGTCTATTTACGGCATCCCACCAATGTGAGTTTGCCGTCCGTCCGGTTTTTCACAACGAGCGGATGTCAAGCGGTTATAAGGCAGCTTGCTGAACTTCCCTACACAGTAACATTTAACTGCTTGATGTTAATTTTACTATCTCCCTGTCTATTGGGATGCCTTAGAAATTCCATGCAGTGTGATTGACTTAAATGAGGTGTTGTACATGTGCCTTACTTGGTGTGATGTTATGGCTCTCTCTTCCTCAGACACCATTTCAGTTGATCAGCCCACTACTTTTGCATTGCTAGCAAACCCAAATGTAAAACCTACTAGGGTGAAAGACTGAACAAATGAGAACTTAACCGTAACCCCCTCTACATCTTGCTAAAACCTCAACAAGAATCAGCGCCTCCTAATACATCAACACTTCAAAGCAGCTGAAATAGCTTTGAAGAAAGAGAGAAGTGATGATTTTAAGCCTAGTTTTTTTTTTTTGTTTTTTTTTTGATAGAGTAGGAAAGGGTTATAAGCCGCACCGGGGAATTGGTTTGGTTTTTTTCTTTGACACGATTTTGTACTCCAAAACTTCTCTCCCTATACGAGTCTATGGGAATGCACAAGCAGCTGAAATGGGTCAACTCCACCTGCAATTAATTATATTAGAAGTGCTTTAAACTAATGTCAAAAGCACCCTGAATTTGCCCATCGAAGTCTGTTGACACAGGCCAAACGTTTGGAAAATGTCCCCTTTTATTCCTATACTGACAACTCAAAATGTTGGCTTTTATAGTGGTGCCCAAGACATCGAGAATGCAAGTCTCTAACTGGGGCAGATGGCGATAAACACCCAACAAAGGGTTCTAACCCCTCACCACCATCTAAAATAAAAAAAAATGCTGTAAATACACTTATTTTAAGAAAGGGTTTACAAACAAAAACACTATGGGGGGAATTTATCAAAATTGGAGCAGAGAATCTGGAGCAGCAGCCAATCCGCTTCTCTCTTCAGTTTTGTCCAGCTTAAGCTGGCCATACACCTTACAATTATCTGCAGATTTTCTGTGGTCAGATGGAAAAGGTGCAACAGATTCCTCCATCTACGCTAAACTGTGGATGGAGTAATCTCCACCTGGTCAATCTGTTGCACTTTTTCCATGTGACCACAGAAATTCTGCAGATAATTGTAAGGTGTATGGGCACCTTTTAGATTTGAAAATGAAAGAGAAGCTGATTGGTTGCCATGGACAACTGTTCCAGATTTTCTCTGCTCTGGTTTTGATTCCCCTGTTTATGTAATCGATTAAAGAAGCAATCAAGGCAAATAAACTCTTAACCCTTCCAGTGAGTCATCCGGTCCATAAACTGTATTGGACATGAGGACATCGAGAGACATCCCATTGCTGGAGTTGGGGAGGAGACAGACTAAAGGGGCTGGTCTAGGAGTTAATGCTAAAGCCTGATGAAGGGACCCTGCGCGGTCCCGAAAGCGCTTGTTTGGTCATATGAC